TATATTCTTTTTAATTTTGTCTGGCCCAAAGCAAAGAAATCTATCTAGAAATTTGAATAAATATCGCAGCAAAGTTTTGCATTCAGCTTTCTTAAAGACATAGGGGTATGGAGTTTGAAACTGCAAAGCTCGTGTACAGACCTTAACACCTGTCCTCTACTTTATAAATATATATGATAGCACATATAGAACTTTTGGGGAAAAAAAAAAAGAGTGTCGGAAAAAATTCCACAGGGTATGAAGAGTGGTGGCAACTTCAGAAGAAGTACCATGGAGTATGTTTCCTCTGCACTTGATTTTTTGCTCGTGTAGCTTAATAGATGGTTATAGGACAGTAGGTTTATCTCAGTGCCTTTGCAGAGGCAAGTGCAACATTAGTCTGTAGCAGTACCAATTTTTCTTTTCTCTGTCTTTTCCCTTCCCACGTTTTGGAACTGGGTGGGAAATGCAAGCTCTGGCAGAATTGATTTTAGGTTGATTGGCTAATTGACTTTAGTTCCAGACTGTCTGAGAGCCCTTTATTGCCTCTGTTTCCTCATCTTGTTTCCACTTCTACATTAAGACAACCCTCCACGCAATCTGGCCATGGCTGGTAAGCACACCTTCCTACCGTCCTGCCATCTGCAGCGGCAATTCTCTCTTTCTCTTATTTAATTGCTATATAAGCTCAGGCTTTACCTGAACACATGCAGCTGTGTTGGTGAGTGGCCATAGATGAACAACTGATGCTATTCCCTGCAAAACAGAGCTCTCTTGCATTGTATTCCATTAGGCCTTCCCATAAAGATGGGATTTTTGTCCTGCTGCCTCGATTTGCTGAAGTGTTAAGTGTGGATAAGCCCAGGCAATCACTGTTGAGGAGCTAGTGTCTAAGAAAGCCTCAAAAGCTTTCAGCTTTGTTTTTTATTGATTTGTAAAGGGAATAGTAAGCTTTCCCCTCTCTCTTGTGTTCACCTGATAGTGCAGATATTCTCCAGACGTTGACAAGCACTGCTGTATCTTTTGCTGTGCTGTGCTCGTCAAAGCTCTCGAAGGCTTTGACAAAACCCATGGCTTCTCCTCATCAGCCTGTGGGACACAGGTTGTGCATTCCCTTTCACGTTTTGTCCCTTTGCGGTTTTTAACATAGCCATGTGCAAAGAGAGCACACCTCGGCATGTAGCTGTCTGAAGACCATGCCAGAGAGCATCAGGCAAATATCCTGGCCTCTTCAAGGCAGCCTCCCTGTTGCTTGAGAAAGAAAGATTTGGGAATCTGGAGGAGAGTGGCAACAGATCTGTTCCTGCCTTTGTAAAGACCAGTAGCAGGACAGTCATGTAGAGGGAGAAGAGGTAATGTAAGGACGTCTTTATTTCAGGGGTTTTTTTAGGTTCCCTGTCCATTCCCCAGCCTCTGAAGAGTCCCATCAGAATGGAACCATCATGGGCCAGTTCTGCTTGAGTTCATGAAGGTGCTGTTATTGAAGGCGTATCCAGTTTCTGTTGACCTGGAAAAAAGTTGTTTAATAATATTAGTTGCACTTTTTGAAGCTGCAATGCCCCATGTGGTTTTTTTCCCTGCTCAGGACACAGCAGCTGGAGAAGTGTTGTTAATGTAGGTATTGTTTCTTTCTTTCTGAATATGTCCAGAGAAATGTTATACACCACAAAAGATGCAAATAGCTGTATTTGGCATTGCTTGTGAGCATAAAAGCAGCAGAATCGTAATGTTACTAGAAAGAGAGGAAGCAACTATCCTAGAGTCTGTTATTCTGAAGTTATCGATGAAAAAATTTACTGTTTCCATCTAAATTCTCTAATGAAAATATAGACATTATCTCTGTAGTCTTGAGGATATATGTATGAATTCAGTATAATACATGGTTTATATATCAGTATAATTGAAAAGCAGTAATACGGAGGGAAACGCTTGTTATAAATGATATGGGGCCTCTTAGCTCCATGAGAAGAAACACGCCTTTCCCTCGGGCGCCCGGTCCCACAGCAGAACTTTCTCCACTCACATCAGTTAACAGCAGAAGGAAGCTGCTGGCACCAGGGTGAGGATGATGAGGGTGAAATCGTGTGTGGGCGATATCTGCCCTCTCGTGGAGAGAGAAAATATCTTTCCCTCACTGCGTGCAGTGTCTGACAGCGTGGGCTGTCTTAATCCTAAGGAGGTGATACGATAGTTCATATTGATTTTGGAAACCAGACAACTATTCAGTCACAAATTTCCCTCTGCTGCCTTTGAAAGGTGAGAAGTGTGTAACACGTGGAAAACAATTTTTTTTTTCTTCCAAAATATCTAGTTACGTCTGTGTTCAACACAGGGAATTCCCATATGTTTTCCTTTTAAGTTTTCTGATTTTGGTGGTTTGTATGTTGGCTACAGATGTCACGACATAAGGATATTTCCCTTTATCATAAGCTAGACAAACTTCATCATAGGCTAATAAAAAACCCATAACATTTAGCATAATTAATTCTGTATTGCCTGGCTAACAGTTCGGAAATGTTTCTTAATAACCTACTGGCCCAACTAACTACTATGAAAAGACAATTCTGTGCGAAATCAAATGGGTAATATTGCGTATACATCTTGTGTGGTACTAACATCTGTTGTATCTTCATACGGTTTTATTTTTAATTATCTGTAAGAGGGAGGGGGGATGGAAATGGTGTCTGGAGGTGCCATTTGTCATATTTTCTACGGTTCTGTGAGAATTTGGGGGAAAACTTAGACCAATTTAGACCTTTTATAGCTATATGTGATAAGTAAATCAAGATTTTAAAAAGCCTATAAACACTGTTCCAATGCATGGTATTATCTTATAGATTACAAGTACATATTCATGGTATTATATTACACTAATAGGAGGTCGAGGGGAATATCGGCTATGATGAGTCAAGAAGGTTAAATGTTTAACTGATTTAACCAAAATTAATCCACGGTAGGGGTGTGGGAAGAGTGTCCTTATGTACTGTTAACATACCATGACGTATCTTCTCTGTATGACTGTTCTTTGTGAACCAATGTTTTTAACATGAAAGCATCTTTGAAACTGCTTTTTTAAATGTGTAATATAGACCTTCATCAGAACGAAATTTCAAGAACGTTGAGCAAAGTTGACGAACAAGAGGCAAGATTTTGTTTAAAACAAATAAAAAATTTCCCAGCCTACGTTGTTTTCAGTATCGGGCAAATATTACAAAATAACGAGCGTGTGGTAGCCACTGCGCACAAAGTGTCTCTGGGATTACGCTGTGGACGGTAGCACGGGCTAGAATGTCTCTCCTCACCTTTTCACGGATGGGTAAGGAAGAGATGGTGCCACGGTGTCGTGAAGCCAAACCGTTTACTTAAAACGTCGGAAAGCAGTAATTTGTGTTAATTACACAGTCGGTTCAGTTGATGTGAACCGCGTGGTCTGTGGTTTGCTTGCGAGGAAGGTAGGCTGCGTGATGCCTCGAGCCCGGTGCTGTGACTTGCAGTTATTAGCAGCACGTAACCAACGGTTGAGGAGATGCAGAAAATGCAAAAGTCTGGTCGCGCAATTATTTGCTGTAATTTCCAGGAAGGGGGTAAACGTTATGAAAGATGCACGTTTTAGTAGAAGTATTTGTACTATTTGTATTTGTACTTTCAAAAAGGTAAGAACATATTTTGTTTAATATATGAAATTCTGAACCTTCCCCTAAAGGTAATTTGGCTAATTATGAAGCACTCCCTGCGCCCCCAAAGAAGGGGGAAACTATTTAGAAAGACTCGAGCAAATTGCCCCACACTTTTTTCGTTGGTCAAACACACTAGCGCAGTTTTACAATTCTTCTGTGCTAATGCTTGTCTATCAGGGAGAAAGCAGTGCTTATGGTGCATTTAAATGCGTTATTTGTACTTACTAAGCATTATGACCAATCTATTTTCTTTTTTCTCTTGTTGATGTATTAATTGCCTATAAAACTAGACGTTGTTTCTGGAGTTGGAAAGCCCCTACCTTGAGAAAGAAAACGGAAAAAGAAAAAAAGAAAGAAAAGAAAAAAAAAAGTAAAAAGAAAGAAGAAAGGAAGCTTTTCATTAACAAAACTATAAACTGGGGCTATTAAAGAGGAATTAAATAAGCTTCTTGGTATCAAATATAATAGTCTTCAAAATGGCCAGGCTTATGATTCTTCATATTTAATACTAAGTAACCAATAGAATCAGGCAAACGTATTTTAGCATTACAGCTAGTTTATTTCCGCTGTTACACTATACTAGTTTATGCTGTTACTTAATAAGAGTAGGTACTACTTGGACCTGATACACTATATCTAGAAAGTCATTTCAACTACTGTTAAGACTGATGATGGTATGAGACACTAAATAATGAGGAAAAGTGCTATTTCAAGTGGATTAACTCCTTATTTCTTACCTCATGATACAAATGACTCGGTGGCCATTAGCAGGTCTCATAGCTTTTCTGCGCTCCTGCTTTCTTTGTCTGCATAATCAGACCATAACACCTGCCTACGGCTTGGGAAGGCTGTAAAAATTAAGTATCCTACTGCTTCTACAGTGTTTTGACATTGTACAGCATTAAAGTTAAAACACATGATCATGTAACTACTGTTATACAATTATCACCACTTTGATGAAAGGTGGCTTTGATGCAAGGATCCGAGAAAGCTGGGAGATACGTCCATATTAGTTTATTCCTTTTTTACAGTCGGAGCCTGGTTATTTGCGTTGTCCATCGTGGGCTTGGTCACCCGCCTCCGTGTTTACGGCCTCGCTGTGGTTTATCGCAGGGGCAGCGGCTGGGGCTTCTCTCAGAACATTGTGCTTCCAGGATTATTTTTTTTTTTTTTGTAATTTCACCTGGGGAGGAGATGTCCTTAAAATCATTGTCTTAACGTGTATCTGTCTGCACAGTATATTTCAATTAGCAAGCATCTGCCCAGAATCTATAGTTGCTTACCTGTTAATTTTTACTGGGAAGCGTTTCACAGCTTATTTTATGTCCTCTTTGTGCGATGTAGGTTACCATGGCCTTTACTGTGAAGAGGAATACAACGAATGCCTTTCTGCGCCCTGCCAGAACGGAGCCACCTGCAGGGACCTCGTCAATAGCTATGAGTGCGTGTGCCTCGCTGAGTACGAAGGTAGGATGGGGTTTGCCTCTCATTTTTGAATTGTTCTACGTATTTTTTGATGGTAGGTTCTGTTGCAAACAGAGATATACAATACCCTCCGCTGAGCTGAAATAAATCCCACATCTAAAATTAGCGGAAACAAACTTCAGTGTAGATCCTGATCCCGTAATCTTTATTCAAACGAGTAGTTCAGATTTAGCTGGTCTGTGAGAAATGTATATCCTTGTCTGGGGAGAAACGGCTTCTCTCTGTTCTTCTTAGGTGTACTTTTTTCTGCTGTTTTTAAGATATGTTAGAAAGTGATGGGTTTTTAAAAGAAAACACAACTGTTAAATAAAATTTTTCATCAGTTATTGCTAGGAGCCGTTACACGGCAGGCTTTCCAAATGATTTTATTTATTTTCTCCAGTGAAGTCAGTTAAAAACATAGTAACAAAAGATTAGTATTTGAAACAGATTAGCACAAAGGAGTAGAAATGAAAGTTTTATGTTGATTGTTCATTTAGAAGACCATAAAGCCCAGAGACAGTAGTAGGTTCATGACTGCTTTCCCATGTTAACTGCAGCTATTCCTAGATATGTTCGAATGGAATCGGTCTTTAGCATTTCTTAAGTAATTTATAAAATAAAGCAGAAAAGTATGTGTATTGCTAGACAAAAATCTTTTACCTTGCAGTGGATTTCAGCTTTACACAGAGCAGCACATATCAGCTGTCTGTGACATGTCCCTCTGTGGAGGGCTAAAATGATACTTTTTTTGTCTATTCTGTTTGGAATCACGCTGTGAGAACGTTTTGAATGCAATTTTATATGTTGTTAGTATTAAAATATAGATATATTTTACATAGAACGACTATGTTTTAAGGAACATTACCCCAGCATTTTCTCATTAAGCGTATCAATCCTTAACTGTGTTGATAAGTAATGCTCACTTAACAGCTGCTTGAGGCTAAATATGTATTTCATGCTGGTTATTGCGCTGCTCTGACAATAGATACAGAATTCATCATTTTAGAGGCTTAGTGAGGAAATGACCCTCAGCTTCTCATGACAGTTTAAAGGGCACTTAACCATAATGTTATGACTTCATGTTCTGTTCTCATCCGACCTGTACATGCAGCTGAAAGCACTGTGTGCGCGGCACATTGTGCTTTAAATGAAAGCAGGGGACCTGGTCCTGTAAGCAGTTTTTGCTGATTACTGAGCTTTCTTCAGTGACACTAATGAATAGAGCTGAGGTACCCAGCTCAAGATGCTATGTGGGCCGTTAGAGGCCCCAATTTTACCGCCACCAACCCAGACCCCCAGTCTGCAGCCCCCTCTTCTGCCTCCGTACCCCCCTGGCTGGCAAATGGGCGAGAGCTGCTGTCGCTCGTCTGGACCGTAGTATCTGCCAGCGCGTTCCCGTGGGCTTCTGGCTCTGCTGGCCGCTGCTGCTTAGCTGCAGGATGCTCAAACTCGAGTGCTCTGCCTTTTTGCTGCTGACAGACTGACCACATGATTTCAGCAGGTCTGCAGAGAGCGAGTACAGACCTGTACTCACATGTGTGAGTGTGTGTGTGTGTGTATGTATATATTAAAAAAAAATATAGTTTTTTTAATTACCGCTATTAACTTGAGATGTTTATTTTTATATCTCATGTAAGCTTGCATTGCTGTACATAACTGCAGTGTTGAACACTAGAGAACTAAGTTCATTCCTTTTAATCGGTCACTCATTAAATAAATGTGCTTGTATACATACATCTGATATATTATGTGTCCAATTTCTTCCTTTTTTTGTATTGATTTTTCTTTCTCATATTCTTTTCTCTAAAAACTCTATTTTCTCACTGATTTTACCTCTGTATAGTTCTACATCTCAAACTCTCCAAATTCAAATTCACAAACTGCCCAATTCCAGTGCAACACCATTGGTATTCAAGAAAGAGGCTGGGAAGGAGTAAGGCAGGATCAGCTGCATGTCCACTTTTCACATGTATTTGTCTAACCTCTTCTAGTCCTCCATCATTGTAGGTTCTGTAATCTCCACAAGCAACATAATTCCTTCACTGTCGTTCGCTACCTCATGATTAGAAACATCTTCCTGATGCCGAAGCTGTGTTGCAGTTTTTATACATAATAAACAATATGAGTTTGTGCTTCGATTGACAATGCCTCTTTGCAGTTTGCAGGACAGTAAGGATTTAGAAACATGAACCACCTTAAAAAGTGAAAAATGTATTTGTAATTTGTAAGTGTTATCACATGGAAGCATTCAGAATCCTGTCTTGCTCTTCAATTTGTTGACATTCTTGTAAAAAGTATAAGAATTGGAAAACTTGAAGATAACTTAGGATTTCAGTGGTCACTTTGGATTCATTCCCAAGCAAAGAATGGTAATAAGACTTAGATTTAGACTTAAAACTTACATTAATGGATAAATTTAAACAGGTCTTTTAAATGCAAGCTAATTTCACTGTATTAGATACATTATAAATGAAGTCCCACCAATCATTCATTATTCACATACGCACATTTATTTTTTTTCGTGTTTCAGTGCCATTCATGCACTGATTAGATCATTCATGTATTGATTTTTCTAGTTTTATCTGAAAAGTAGATCCAGAGAAAATGAAGCTTGTAGCAGTGGCAGCAGAGCCTCTGTCCCCATCCCCAGGTGGGAACCTGCTGTGCTTTATGTTCTGTATGCCAGATATGGCTTGCACTGTCTTCTGCAAGGCAAAGCTGCTGAATTCACATAGCCTGCACCTGAGAATGAAAGAGCGAAGGTAGTGGCATGAAGCTGAGCACCCCAATTATTTACTTTTAGCTATGCATTTGAATAAATTAATTTATCTTTTTATTGCTTTAGTTATACTCCTCAGCTTCCTGCAAAAGTCAATGAGAGGCATCAGAATGCTTATGTATACTATTAAAGAAGTTACTACGTAAAATTCTTACTGAAGACAATTATTGTTCACGTTTTATTGAAGAATATTAGATAGGCGATCAGATTATGCTTTATTATACCATTGGTTTTTCATAGACACTCCAGCAGTTCTTGTTAGCAGAAATTGCCCTACCTCTCTTACCCCAAAGCCTCAGCGGGTGGGAAGAGCAGAGAGGAGGCATGTATGTAAAAAGTTTAGTCACCATAAAATGTATGGCTTTAGTCTTACGGCATTAGCCTAATAGGACAGGTTTGGAGGTTGCACGTCATTGTGCTCATCCAGGTGAAGTTGAGTTATCACATGTGCCGATTTCATGCTGTCAGTATAGGTCATGTTAATGGCAATTACTAATTTTACCTTTTCAGGAAGGCACTGTGAATTGTACAAAGATCCTTGTGTTAACATCAACTGTCAGAACGGTGGCACTTGTGACAGCGAAGGTCTAAATGCTACGTGTATTTGTGCACCTGGATATACAGGTAAGTAATTTGTACGTTACACAGAACGTCTGGTTGTCTGTGTTCACTATGTCCAAAAGAAGACAAATACCAAGTAAGACTCTGTCTCTTCAAGGAAACAAATTCATTTGGACTTTGCTGAATTGTAATCAGTCTAGTGAGAATGAAAAGTTCTTGGTATTACTTGCAACTGCTTTGAACTTTAAAAATCTTGCAGCAAAAAAAGCCTGTTACTAAAGAGAATTCACTAAGCTGACAGCTATTTAACATGCCTTATGACCTTACTGCTTGAGACTGGATTGCATTTTAAAAACAACATTTTGAAGACTTCCAGGTAAGCCAATATACTAATTAGACACTGTTGAAACTGGAAAATGTTTTAACATTGACCTTAGTTACTGCGAGCTGAAGAAACAACTTATTCCATTACCTTAATATGCAATTGCTAAAAGCCCTAAAGTGCTTGTTCTGGATCAATTTACACTTTCAGAGTAATGGGAAGCAGCCCATTTAATCCTTTGGCCTTGTATTTAAACTGACATGTTTGGTGTAATCCAAATATCTGCTGTCAAGACAATTTACAACCTGATGCTCTGCTAGTCCTGTCAGGTAATGTCCAATGTGATAGTAATAGATAAACCCACTCATAGCTGTTTTGTAGATCAAATCGTGCTTTTTCATCTGTGCTAATTAAAGGGCTTTTTTTTTTTTTTTAAAGTGTTAGCTTTCCGTTGTACAGTGGCTGTTTCTCAGAGGCACTGATTATCTACATTATTGTATAGCACTTCAGAATACACATGATAAATTGTTATACCGCATTTTCTTGGGATGGAACTTGTATTTAAAGAAATGAGATACACATAATCTGGGTGAGGTTAGTCAAGTTACTTAGCCCTCAGACTTTGTTTTCACCTGCTTGAATGAGGATAATATTTCCTTCTGGGAGGCTATGTGAGACTTATTTCTTGAAACAGTTATAGAATACTTTTGATGTTCTGAGAATAAAGATGCTATTGAGCTATAAGGTGTTTTGCAGCTAGAGGAAAATTAAATGACTGATGTACCTGCTACGTGAGGCACCCACTATATAGAAGTTTGGTTTTTGTTGTTTTTTTTTTCTGATATAAGGTGAAGAATGTGAAATTGATGTAAATGACTGTGACAGCAACCCATGTCACCATGCTGGAACTTGCATAGATCAGCCTGGTGGTTACACCTGCCATTGTCCACATGGATGGGTCGGTGCAAACTGTGAAATACGTAAGTTTTGTAGTTTTCTAAAAATTTCTAAAAATGATACATTATAATAAAGAAATTTATATTTGTCTCTAAATACCTATCTGCACAAATACTCTGAATCATCTGTAAATTATCAAAATTCTGTTGCATGCATTTTATTTTAGGCCATAACATTTCAGAAGTGGCTATGCAAGTTAGAAACATCTGTTTCTGGGCACCCTACTTCGAGATGTGTTGGACTGGATTGTCAGAGATGCTGTCTCACAGCTGGGCACTAAGCAGTTTGCCTTTTAATTGCACTTACGCTTCAGAGCTTACTTCCATACTTACCTTGGGCAAAGTGTACTTCTCTAGTGCTATAAGCATGGTCCTAACAGACTTTTGTTGACTTCTGAGCACCCGCGGTTCTAGTGATGTTTCAGCAAAACCATTTTGAACTTGCTTACCTAAGGAAACAAGTCCTGTGTAACTGTGCTGTGACTTGCGTGTGCGTGCATTTACCAACTTTTTCAGGAATAACTTTTCCAACCATCGGCCGATTTCCACCAAATTTGTTAGAAAGGTAAAGGTCTCCAAAACAAAATATTTCCTAAGCATTTAGTAAGACTTAGAGAGGTTCCATTGGTGGGTCTTCTGAGGGAACAGCTTCGGTGTGATCTTGCTTCTTAGTATAGAGAAAAGCTTCAGTGTAAGTGCATCCTTATAGAGCAGAAGAGAGTCCATGAGAGGAAGGAAGTATGAAGCCCAACTGTGGAAGAGTTAAAACAGAAATAAGGCTTCAGTAGTTCTGCTGCTCATGGAGCTGCTTTGTATTTCCCTGATGTCTTGTTCTTGGGCTACAGATGTTGTCTTTACTAGGGAGTTTAGCCGTGTATTTAACTGCTTGAATGCTCAGGTACTGTGGTCATAGATCCCTTCAAGTCATTATACAGCTACACAAGTTTGTGTGAGGGCATTTATGCTGCTTAGCACAGCTCATGTTGCAGGGATAGGTGATAGATTAAAAAATAGACAGAAGGGACTCAGAAAGCTCCTATCGTACATTCATGAGAAAATACCTACACAAAAGCTGGAATAAAAAATGGTTTCTGTATCTCATTTAGGCAAGGAGCATATGAAGCTTCTCCTTTTTACTCTCTTTTACTTAAACTTTACTTAAACATATCAACTGCTTCTTAAGTTGATTTCTATTCTTGACGTTAGTCCTTACTTCAACCCAGAAGACAACTCTGTTCACATCTGGACTGACACAAAAGTTTTATCTTGACAGGTTTATGACCTTCTCTCCCTGTAATTATTGGTTGTGAATTCAGTTTCAGTGCTTTCTGTCGAAAGCAAAGACTGCAGAAGAGCATTGCTAGCTGGTCCAGAGGTGGTGACAGCCCTGCCTTTTTGTTGTCTCAGTGAATGGCGCACACGCTTCCCTGTGTGGTACAGAACCATCGTGACGTTGGGAGCACAATGTTGCGTGCTACCTGGATGCCATGTTGCTCACGCTAAAAGATGCTCAGATGAGCTTTTACTGACACGGCTGTTAGCGATACCTGAAACATGCGTGTCCAAGCAAGGCAGTGTAATTCTGCCTGCCTTAGCTAATAAGTAGCGGGCTGACAGACAGATGAGTTTAGTTCTCGGAGAAAGAAATAATCATCCTGGAAACGTACTTCCTGGGGTACCTCAGTGTAGTAACAATTACATTTCTGTTATGTTACGGAATGAATAGATGCCAAAGGGAAACAGACGGGCTTGCGAGCTTTCTGAGCCCTGCAGCTGTGCTCTATGAAATCAGTGATGCTTGTTCTGGAGTCCTCCTTTGGCTGTCATGCTCTAGTCACTAAGAGTTTGGCTGTTTGCACCACAGATACATATTGAAGTGCATATAAACACATGGGAAAATGAGAGAAGCAGAACAGAGGGTGGAAGGAGCCTTTTCTACTGTCCAGCTACTCAATTATTCCTGCTTCCCCCTGTGAGGGACGCATGCCCCTAAGCGCTATATATGATGGGTAGGTTCAAGCTTACCTCCGTGGTTGGTCAATATTAACTCCTTTCTGACCACGTTTGTAAGTGTACGAGAGAGAGAGAGTGGATAAAACTCTGCTTAAGCTTTGTTCTCTTGAGCCAAGGGGGTTGTCTCTGCTTAGTGTGTATTTCTCTACAGGTAGCATCTGTTTATAGTTGAACTGCAGTGGCCTTGCCTGCTGCTCAAGAACTTGGATTGCATTACACAATTGCAAACTGTGTGAGTTAAAATGATGGGAAGAAGCAACAGCACTTTGCTGTGGCTGTTTTAAGCCTTTTACTGCCTTTTATCTTGTGACTGCTATGACAGGAGGCAGGGAATTATCTGAGTGTTAACTGGCATTGATAACACCGCAAGGCTGTTTCTCAACGAGAAATATTAGACCTTTTCTTTCCATCTCAATATTTGGAGAGAATAATCATATAGTATTGTTCATGGCAATTGTTCTCAATTGAAGAGGTTGAAATTACTTTTTTTTTAATCCAAGAAATCAGGATAGCTAATAGTGTATATACGTAATAATAATAGTAATATAGGAGATACAAAAAAAATGCAATCTAGAACATTCTGGTTTGGGTTGGTCTTAAAGGAATGAAAGCAGGAAAAAAAAATCTTTACATAGTCACATAAAGATACATTTTGAAGAACAATTAAGTTTAAAATTTGAGGGTTACCCACAGTTTCTTCAATAAGCTTAACATCAGCAAACGTCTGATGTTCCCTTGCTATTAAAGTCACTTTGACACAGCATCAAAGTAAAATGATGTGTTGTTATGGGACTCCACGATACTTCACAATAGTCAGATATAAGTAAGGACATTCAGCCTCTCTAACCAACGCAGCAGCTTATATACAAAGCTGTGGAAGCTTTCCTAAAGTGCTTGGATTTTAACAGGTATATAAAGGATTATGCAAATAGAGAGGGATTGAGTTTTGAAGAAATCACTTTGCAGAAAGGATTTAAAAGCATTTTGATCTGCAGATTTGTTCTACAGAACTATGTATCCATGGGAAGATCTTTGCGCTCACTGTCTTCCCCTGAGCTACGAGTTGGCCAGCTGATGGGAACCCAATTCTAATCATATCTAGAAAGGCCATATCCAGCTCTTTTATAAACAGGTGCGGCGCTTCTGATCTCACTGGAGCTGAGCCAGTGGTGCAGTGGATTTCTGTTTAGCTCTGAAGATTGAATCTATTAGTAAATCTGTTTCAGTTCATCTTTCCGTATCTCCTTGTCATATTTATCATATTGTTTCAGCAGTTTGTACATAGTGGTTAAAAATGTATTGGAAATTAAATTTAAACACTGCACACTGACTTCCTTTGTATTGGACCATCCCTCCGAATGCTAGAAAAAGACATGATGAGGCCAGGCTTCAGGCTTCTCAAGGCGGGGACTGGTGCTCAGGAGTCGTTTGACTAAATAGATCACGTTATCTTTTGTGATTATCTGTTACTAGCCATGGAGGAGGCTGTTGGTATTTAATCTTTTTTGGAGAACAACTCTCTATTTACTATTAATAGTTCCCCTTTTTTTCACTAGCTCTTTTATCTGCTTGAAGTGACTACCCTAACAGGATTTCAGGGTTATCTTCTTGTCAAACCGTACTCTTTAATTTTCAAGTGCTGTATACACAGCGGACTAGACAAGATGTGTGTTGCCTGGATGAACTGTGATGTTTATTATATCATCTTACGGTCCTTACCAGCGTTAGCAATTCCAATTAAATAGGATTAAATCGGTCTTAATTATAAAGAGGATATTTTTCCTTTCAAAATGAAATGTATTTGCCTAAAAAGTTAATGGAGCATTCACTGCACAAATGCTTACAAAATGTCTCATATGAATTCTCTGATGCCTGCTGGTTATTTGTTAATATCATTACCTTTGCCACTTTTGTAATTAATGTAGTTACCAACGTAAGCCAAACCATGTGGTTACTCGAAAACTAACATTGTGAACAATTTCTAGTACAGACTCTGTGGTACGCATTGAAATCTAATTCTTAATTAATTTTATGAACATTACTATGACAACTAAGAATACTGTGATTTTGAGCTGTCTTGTGTTCTTTCTAATCTTTGGAATATAAGCTATTCTTCATCTTTTTATCTGGTGGGGAAGAAAGGAAGAAATTTCTCTCGTCCTTATCATCCAGAGATGGAAGACATGGAATCTAAATCAGAACTGTCTTGCCATATATCTGCGCACATTAGATCCGAATTTGGCCTAGTCTGACAACCTGACAGAAACCACCCTGTGTGACGAATGTGCCGCAGAACAGAAATAGAAACCCATCCCAAACTGCGCAGAGCACAGCTGTATTCTCCCCCTCATATCCCGGCTGGGCAAACTGCAGTAACAGCACTTTAGCAACATTAAATCGCTGAATGATGCAGGCTGATCAAAACTTTACCGATCTCTGAGGAAGATAACACAAACAAGCAGTCAGTCCTGCAAAATCAGCTCACATTTGTGGACAAAATGCCTAAGCAAGCCCGAGCTCAGAGGTGCTCTGGGACAACCTTTACTATTGTAAACGAAGAGCAACCATTTCTTCAAACTCTGCCCAGGTGAATCCCACAGGTTACAGCTTCAGGCTTTCTCCCTACCTTCTTCTAAAATGGATTTTTTTCCCCCTGTACTTGTACATTCCCCTGTATTTCTACCATAGGTGGAGGTTATATCCACAGATGCTGCTAAATTTGTGAATTCAGCTCAGGTGGTCGAATCAGTTATCTGCCATCATCAACATCCTCGAGAGGTGGCTTCTAAGAGTATCTTAACATTCCCAAAGCATATGCTTGATAGCCCTGTTCCCAGACTGTTTGTCTGGGAAAGCAATGCAGAAGTCCGTTTGAAAAAGGAACAGTCACTTGCTAGAAATAACTTCTGCAGAGTGTCAGATTTCTGTAGTCGGAATGATTCAAGTCTGTTCCTGGTTTGAAATAATTTATGAGACCATAGGCTTAAAAGACTGCCAAAAATGAACCCTAGAGGCAAGTACAGGTTAATTAGAAATACTCTGACCCATACTAGAGAAAAACAGATCTGAGGACATAGGCAATTGAGAGACAATCTGTTTGGCATTGATAGACAATAGTTTGGGCGTCAAGAATATTTATAAAGAAGGTCTGGAATACATAAATACAAGAAGCCTCTTCCAGATTGGCTTTACTTTAAGGTCTGCTTTGAGGCCTCTCGGGGAAGTTATGCTTGAGAGAAGACTCTAGTGGGCTCAGTACTGTAGCACCTTGTGAGATGCCCTTTTTGTCCTTGAAATGCTGAAGTCTCTGCAGTCTGGTGGAGATAGGCATAACAAAAGCCTGTGTTTCAAATTAAAAACCAAGCATGTTTAATACATATTAAGTCACACACTTTAGTGGAAGGATTCACTATTAGAACAAGCTGCACAGAGAACTGGTGCATTACTAGAAGCTTTTACATAAAACCTGCCTTCCTTTAGAGACCCTATGGTATATTATAACATAATGCAAGAATAACTGGATGACTGTCTATGACTTGGGTTATACAGGAGATCAAACTAGATAAGTGTTCCTATATGACCTTAAAAATCTACAGAAAAGGTGGGTGAAGGATCAAGGTAGTGCTATTCAAATTTGTTGCATGTTAGGCATGGCGACGTATCCATAACAGAGCCTGGGAAGGTTCAAATTACCCCCCTAGCTTCAAAAGTCTCCACAGAAATATCGAACGTGAATATCATAAAAGATTCAATTCA